TTTGCTCATGTTGATGGTTTCAAACTACGTCTTAATGCATACCCCAATCATCCACAAACACAGCCATATGTTTTGTCAGTCAGATGGCAAGTACTTCAAGAAAAAGTTTATATAGCTACTGCAACTACTTTCACTAAATACGTATGCCGTTGCTTCTTGTGTGGGCAAGTTGGTTTCAAAGATATGAAAACCGGTAACAATATATTTGTAGCGTCTATTGAAAAACTTATGGTGGGAGTAGTATGATATGTATCGATTTTTTTACATCAATTTGATATAAGCTCCGGTTTTGCAATTACGTAAACATATACCGACAGAAATTCTAAGCTCATTTTTGACTAGGCCCAAGAAAGACTGACAGTTATAACACAATCAGAAACCTGAGTGTTTTCTTTCGATACGTTTTGGTTTTTACTCCCCCAAGCAATTGGCAAGAAAATGTTGCAATCGCAAACAAAATTGTAAAACTGTGTCATCCATTTTCTCCGATTTTCATTTGTCCGGCAATTCAAAATTCGAAAAAATCGTCAGACTTTTTTTTATATTTTTCGATATTGCAAACACCTATAGGCGTAACTGAGTTGAGATTTCGGATAAAATGTAAGCTCCGCTTTTCGGTGTTTTCAACTTTCTGATCACTTGACTGCGTAGATGAAGAACTTTTCTGGGGGCCCAAAATGTTCCCAATAAGGTTATTATATAATGAAATAAGACAACACAAAGTGTCATCTATTACCAGAATCGGTCAGTACGAAAGTGAAAACAACAAGCTGTCTGTTGATACTGAATGTCAGTTCGCATTGTCAGCCAGGTTACTACTGTAACTGCTAGGTGCCGCCGATCCTGAAACTGAACTTGCCAGGATTAGCAGAACTGAGAAAAGCCTACTCAGGAGCGATCGTATCGGCCAGTTCTGGTTGTACGAAGTTCGACACGGTTAGGGTTAGGATGGGTAGTCGATGTCAGGCAGGTCTCTCTGGCAGGTACATCGCCCGGCGGCATCACGGAAGGGAGCTGTGAGGAGCAAAGCCCGTTGGCGTAACGGCAGAAGAAAGCTACATCGCCGACGGCGCGTCGGTGCGAAAGGGTCTTATCATCCTCTGAGCAGCATCGAGCATGGATAATGTACTAGAGGCGGCAGCACCCCAAACATGTGAGCAATAGTCGAGGCTAGGTCTTATCTGAGTCTTGTACACAGTGAGGAGGTCATGTGGATAAAGTACTTCTTAGCCCTGAATAAATAGCCTAGCTTTCTTCTAGCAGCTGCTGCTATTGAGGAGATGTATCCGTGCCAGATCAAGTTGAGTTATTAATGATTCAAGATACAAAAATTCTCAACTTTGACAGCTCTTCCGTCCGCCATTTTAAAAGATAGTGATTTTAAACCCTAGACACACGACCCCGCATTCCATTTACAAAAATGAACAAGATTACAAAATAATTATATAAATTTTAGTATGCTAACCTGACCCATTCAAAGATAATTAGGGGAGGACCCTTCAGAAAAGCACTGTACATCTGTAGTTCACTATTTTCCATGTTTCGAAAGCGGTGCAAATCTTAATTCTGTTAGGACATTTAAACCAATCAATGCAAACATCCAAGCTTCTGTCGCCTGTAGCTCAAAAACGAAACGTGGACTAAACAGAAAATTTGGGAGTATTAATATCTCATCAAAAACTTCCATTTACACACTATTGAATCAAAAGTGTAAGGTCCTCGAGGTCAAAACTACAAACGTTCTTTCAGCATAAGCTGCAAGATCCACATCAGGTCCTTTTTGTCAAGCAATCTTTGGAAGCTAAAATGTTGCCTCAATATTTGACGAAATAATGAATTTACTTCACACCTTTAAACATACACTGCCTCATTTTAAGTACAAATTACACCCGATTATCAACTACATGTCATTCATCTGCAGCGCCTATTCATCAGCAGGCCTGTTACGCAACATTATCATTATAAAAAATGCACAATTTCGTGAGTGTTGTCTTGTCGGGATGTCGAAAATTAGTGATTTCTCTTGACGGGATAACGTTAATAGTGTGTACTGATGTAATTCTTACGACATTACTCACACGCAGAACTATGAATGACTTTGAAAAGTTAGTAATTGTAAGAACATATCTCGTATCTTCAATCTTGGCCGACTGCCGATAACAACGAATTGTAAAGAAGAAACAACAAACGAAATGATAATAGTAAAAATAATAAAATCACAGCATTTTATTGTCCAACACAAAACGATCTACATGTTATTAACATCTAAAGTAATGTTGAATCAGTGGCGGATTTAGAGCGGGACGCGGGGGCGCTCCCCCCCCCCCAGACGTCTACACTTGCTTTTGTAATCTAACACCATTGTGTTACTTTCTAATACATCATGGCGACAGAGGCATACTATCAGTTATAGGAATAGGAACTGAGCATTGCGATTTTTTGGTGTTTGATATCACTTACGTTTACAATTCTTACTATTTATACGTATATACGAGTATTGTGACTTGTGACAAATCAAAGTCTGAGTAATATATTAGCTATACAGGTGGCACCCAAAAAGTGATTTATGCTCTGTTTATTGCTCAATTGTAATTTGAAAAGTGTGTAAAGCTTGACTGATTTTGTTCGGTGTTGGAGTTGCAGAGAAGCGCTATGTTAGATGAACGCCTAAATTGGAAATAGACATCTATGAGATTTATTTAGTGGTACGCCTGTGGCCTGTTCAGAAACTGCATAGATCGATGCTCAAAGTCATTGCCACACGTCCCGCGTATCTGTCTATTTATGTTACTACTCGTATATTCAATTTGTTTAGATCACAGAGCTTCTGCACTACACGTGAATATGTACACCCCTGTATTCCTGTACTTGTGCTGTACAAACATACATTATCAAAATAATTATGATCTAACAGATATAGTTTTTTCCAGAGATTTCCAACATTTTTACATGCCATCAACATTGATTCGAAAACTGAGAAAACAACAACTATGCCATAAATCTAAGTTTGACAATGAAAGTCTGAAGAATAACTCTAACATCTATATTGAATTTCAAAAAGTAATTGACTATACCTATTGATATTTTTATCGCCTGCTGGTATAATAGAAGTGCTTGATTGTGTCAGTATTTGCACCATTTACTTGATTTGTTTAATGGGCAGTTCAGAGTCTTAATCCTTAAGCTTAGTACACACTAGTAGACCCCGGGGCGCAATTTGTCTATAGGCAGTCTGGAGACGGTCTCAATATATTATGAACTATACATTGTCTATATGCATCCTTCTTTGCCTCGTCTAGCGTCCATGCGATTATGTGAATTTTTCGGTCTAATATTCGTTTTCGCGATCAAAGACATTGTTTTGTGTTTAATGTATTGGGATATGTCTCGGAGTCCCCCCTCAGAATGTCTAATTTTTTTCGGTTAATAGAGCAATGGAGTGTGTTTGAAACTTTAATATTATTACACTAGTTAATTATAAATGCCACGTACTTATTTTGTTCTCATATTATAAAATATTGTCTTTCTGAACATTTTCCATATTTTGTTTTTCAAGCTGGCATTGACCTGAAACGCAATGAATTTAAGGAGTAATAATAGGATAAATTCTAGGAGTTCACTAAGGTCGAAAAATTACCAACCCCAAATATGGTTGGCGCCCCCCTCTAGACGAAATCCTAGATCCGCCCTTGTGTTGAATAATTCATAGCTAACTTAAACCAAAAGAAGCAAAACAAAAATCAAAGTTATTCCAAATATTGGTGGAGCACACATTTCAAGTTATTCAACTTACAATTGAAGATAGCGCATACTTGACAAATAGTACTAACATTAACAGACATAACTCTAACAGGTGACTTCAGCAGTAGGTTTGTTCGTGTACGGTTACAAAATAATACTACATTAAGACGTGACAGACGTGAGCCTATGAACGGACAGATTAATGTAGATGAATCAATGCGGCCATTAAGGATTTTGTAAAGAAATATTACAGATGAGTGCTTCGTCGAGATACAGAATCAGGCATAGAAGCCAAATCTTTTTTGAACATTTTGCTAATATGGACCCTGCACAATAGACGCAGCTTGGAACGAACAAAAGCAACATATAGTGTTTTGAGCGAATAGATATTTGTTATCAACTAACAATTCCTGATAATGAAACCCGGCATTCAGATAGTCAGATGATACTAAAACCTGCATTTTTAGAAAGTAACAACACTATAGAGATATGGCATCTAGGTTTGCAATAAAAACAAATATACCCTTTTAAGTGAGGTCATTGCTGGGTGGGTATTGGGATATAATAAATCGGCTGCAATCTGAGAATAAGGTATCCTGGGAAAGTCAGCCAAACTGGGATAATTCCACTAAAATCAGTATAAAGTGAGGTGGAATAAAAGTAACGTGACATCACATGCCCTTTCAGACATCGATGTGACAGTTTTCTTAACCATACGCTAAGGCTACTGGACATACATCAGATAAGATATTCTCCTATTTTGCCAAAATAAATAACACATCACTCCAGCTCCAACGTACACAAAAATGAATTGCCAACTTTTGTTCTCCAATTTTTGGAGAAATACTGGTTTGACTACTTGAAACATTTCTCGTAATTCTCAAAGTTCTTGAAACGCAAAAAAATATCACTGATTTTATACACATGCAGATACACACAATCGTCCAGATGCGATCCTGGTATTCAACCAAGTAACCAACTTTCTTCTCAAAGATGCAAACTATAGACTACTCGGCTTCACAAAACTTATGCAACCAACAATGCTTGTATCCATGTAGTTGGGCCATATCTCCATAGATGGACGCTCACAACGATCCTAGTGAGCAAACGTGGAATTTGCACCCTAAAAACTAACTAGTCTGCAAGATGACATCTTACAGGTTTTTTTTGACGTTTTAAACTATAAAAATATGAAGCGAATATATAAGAAGGATAATAGGATTTACTGTCAGTCTAATTTGTCAAAATGTTTGTTGTAGGTTATAAGTCAACCAAAGTGAAATGTTCAAACCATGGATCCTCCTAGGAATAGCCGTGACCTTGTTCGGTTCTGGAGTATCCCCGTTGGATAATGGACTGGCCAAGACGCCGCCTATGGGATGGTTAGCATGGGAGAGGTTTAGGTGTAATACGGATTGCAAAAATGATCCAGATAATTGTATTAGGTAGGTAAAGTTATTTAATTTTTTAAAATTATAAACCCTCTTGAAATATAATGTCTGGTATTGCGTATGATAACCCAAGAAAACACAAATAGAAATGTATTTTCTAGAACTTAGCTCAATTAACAAACGTTTAGTTCAAACAAATAGAACCATAAGTGCAAAAAGTCGATTGAGGCCTGCAGAGGCGCAAACAATGACTAAAATAAGAACTGTGAATACACCAAAGCCAAAATTTACGAGCCCACCTGAAAATAATACTCTTCTTTAAATGATTATCAATATTAAGATACGTTTTTTGAAAAACACATTGATTTTTATGTATAACCATATTCCGAATTAGACGAATAGGTATGTATAGAGAAAATATTGTAAGTATACCATTACTTTCGGCTAGATATTTGACAATAAAAAAATCAACAGTTAAATTCATGAAATTCATACGAAAGCTGCAATATGAAATTATTTCCAATGAACGTTCTGAAAGTTCTGTGTGTTATGTGGTTGCACTGTGGTATCATTCAGTATCTATTGTTAACGTATTATGCAATCTTTTTAGTCTGAATATTCAATAAGAGGTACTTGTAGTGAGCCACAAATCAAAGATGTAGGATATATAATTACCAAGAAATTATCATTCATCTATTGTTTTATTTTGGTACAGGGCTCCGGAAGAATATTTAATTGAATCGTTAGAAAAATTACCAAACAGGATGAAATTTAAATTTACTAATGATGGCTGTTAACAGAAGGCACAAAAATCGGTAGTTTGCCCACCTGGAATAGTTGACATTATAATAATTTATAATTTTTACTGATGAAAAGTATAGGAATATTCAGAAAAATTGTATCGATGAAATGCAAGCTGCGGAAATTTCCAATAAGAATAATGTCATGAAATATCAAAAATATGCAGTTTACTATAAAAATATCCTATTTACAGATTTTTCTATTGAATTAGAATAGAACGTAGACAGGTTGACAGTGCTTGTTTTTGAACTAGATACATTAATTGTTCAAATTTTCAGGTCGCCTCACAGGGTTATTAGATAAGAACTTATATAGTGTCAAAAAAATCGCCAATTCATTCCACGTCAATTTACAGTGAGCATGAAGTGAATGTAAGCTAGTTCAAAGGTGACATTCCATAGGAAAACCTACATAATGTCAAACAAACTACTAAGAATCGATATAATGTCACCTTTTAACCGTATTACGTAACTTAAAAAGTGAGATTATATCGATCTTTTATGACATGATGTAGGTTTTTTGACACTATGTAGCTTTTCAATATAAATGTCACCTTTGAACTAGCTGACATTCACTTCGTGCTCCCTTGTAGTAATCGCTAAATGAAATAGCGGCACACCAGCGGTTACCTAGTGAACAAGTTGACATTTTAAAGATTTTTTGACATTATATAACTTTTTTACGTATTAGACCTGCAGGTATGACGCGAAATAGCACATTTGTGGAACCTCACCCCAAGATCTTTCTTCTTAGCGTTCTCGCGCAAAATTATTTGCTGTAGTATATTTCCTCAACACTTATTTTTGCAATATCGTATGGTAAAAGATCGAGTAGTTCTCGGTATTCAAAGGAAATCTTGGAAACGGTAACGTCAATTATTTCACGTGGTGTGAAAATTTTTTTGCCAGTTTTTAACTTTTCTGTCCTCAAACCTTCTGAGAATTCGACTATTCTCATCAATGGAAGAAGATTATGGAGCGCCTGAGTTAATATATTATAATATAATATTTTTGAAATAACTGTAACATTGAATTTGAATGTCAAACAACTTTGTACTCAAAACAGTACGTAATTCATATTTCGATTAATAATGTTTCATTCATAGAAGCACTTCCTAGAAACATGCTTGCAAAAAAAGATTAAAACATAAATGCAAACTAGAAAATTTATAAATCCATATTATACGTCCTTTTCAACCGGTCGGTGTATAACTAAAATACATTAAAATTTGGTTGCTGTTAAGCGTGTTGTGAGTGCCCGTCGATTTGAGAAACATTATATTCCGCGCTAGTCCTAAGGATTCTATTGATATACGCGTCTATTACAGCCCTAAAAATCGGCAACCACGCATTTAAGAAGAAAGGTTCCAAATAAAGTTTTAGGACACCAAAAAAGCAATTTGTCGATGATCTCAAATATGACCTAGACAATGACCTCAGAGGTCAAGTTTGTAAATTCAAATAGCAACCACCATTTTTGACAGCAAATTCGTATCGAGCTCGAGATTCTACATCAGGGGGAATTTTCATACGTGGGGTCAGGAGGTCTTAAGTGATTCACTCAGTACGACCTTCTGTACGTCTGAAAAGTACACGAACGTCCTGAAAGCTTGATAACCACGCAATATTTGGTGAAAGTGTTCTAGGAAAAGTTTTAAGGCATTAAAAAATCAACTTGTCGACGACCTGATATAACGTGCTTACTCTTCAGACGTAACAGTAACGTATACTGGTTGAAATACTTCTGATTGCTTAGACAAATCTAATAAAATGCACTCTGATATAAAATCTCGAGTTCGACACAAATTGGTTACCTAATTTGGTGTTTCCTCCTTGAGTTTACAAAACTGATGTTCAAATGACCTGTGATGTCATTGTCTAGGTCATGTTTGGGATCATCGACAAAAATATTTTGTTGGAAGTTTTTCAAAAAAAATTTATTATTGCTGATTTTTCCAAGTGTTCAGTTCATGGACACCCTTTATATATGAGTTTATGATCATCTCATTATGTTTTGCACGTGAAACCGATTACTCTCAATTATATCTGTCATATAATGTCATCCGCATGCATACCATCCTTGTAAATAGTACCATTATTCATAACACACACCCATGCACCTTGTAAACATCATGAACTATTAGCTAACCTCTCGTTATTGTATCTACATGCGAGAGTGACAGTAGAATTGGATTAAGAGTGAAACCAATCCAACCAACGATATCGACAGCATGCGTGCAACATTTCATCATCCATAACATAGCAGGATCATTATCATATAATACTGAAATACAAAGATGAATAACCAGAACTAGAACCTTGATCGATTCACTTGATTATTGTTTTTAACCGACAACTTCACGGAAGTAGATTAGTAGTATGACCATTATTTGCTTGTACATTGGTATTTGTAAAACAAAATTAAATCTAGATTGTTTTGTGAATTTTTTTCTGCCTCTTCGTCCAATTAAAGTAGCCGATAACACATAGCTTTTAATTTGCCTTGTTTAGTTATTTTTACTTCCTACGGGCGAGGGTTGTATTTGCGAAACATTTCAAAATGTGATATTTTTTCGATGTTGTATGAGATGTAAATACATGTAACTTGGAAAGTACCTCTCAGAAAAAAATTTTACAAAAGGTTACTACACAGTGTACTTTTGGCTCTTTCGATAACGTATGCGTCATCGGATATTTATAAATCCATCTCCACCCAGCAATGTGATGTAGCAGGGAACAAATTACTAGATCGCAACGTTGTCAGATGAGTGAGGATTAGGCATTAACTGTATGGCTTTGTTTGACTGACTTGATCCGTTTATCTTTTTATTACACATGTTTTCTTTATAAGGACTGCTATGTTGTGCAGAACATAATCCATCCTGAAAATGATGACAGCGTTATGGGGGAAGTGTAGAGTCAACCTACTTGATACCAGTTTCTTGTGATTTGAAGAAATAATGGAAAGGCCAGTAATGATGACAATTACATTACTAGCTCAGATAAATATATTTTACAGTATCCACTCTAGAGTTCCTGAATTCTGACTAATTACTAAATTACAGTTTATCTTTCATTACTGAACGCTATTCTAGTCTGGGTTTTTCAAAAGTTTCTGTTTCTTCTGATCTAGTACTTCGCACACACTGTTTCTCTTTGACATTGCCTGCAGATAAAATCCCCATATTCTCCTTACTTTATGCATGTGTTTTCTTACGTCTTTCTAGAAGTGTCCTGCTGCCATACAGCATTTAGCTGCCGTTTTTAGGCATGGTCCCACGATAAATTCTTTCCAATGCCTAAATCCAGACTCTAATATTTCTCGTGTTGCTTTTGTCTAATGAATTCTAGGCAGCAGCCGTGCGCTGTGCTGGTTCGAATCCCGTCCCAGGACAAATTTGTCTCTTGGCTATGGATGTTGTGTTTGTCCGTAGGTGGTAGACGGTTTCTGACTGTCGAACGTGGAGGTACCACCCGGCGGATCTCGTAGGCGGAGCCAGAATGTGTGCATGTTGCATGCACACGCGTCCCCCCTTTCCGCTGTATCCCCTTATAGCCCCACGGTACCCAATGGGTGTTTAGGCCTTAGGCCTTCGTGGTAGTTGTAGTATAAAGAAAACAGTTCATTTCTGTGCTTTTCGGCACCCTCTATACATATAGGACGCTCCCGGGCCTATACGAATTGCCTTGAAGGTCTAAATACCCTGGTCACACCTTGTTGTGTTCTGTCAGTACAGTCGGAGCTTCTGGATATTCAACATTGATACAGACGTCACACTAAGACTTTCTGCCTAGCAGATATTTTACCTACTTAAATTCTGTGTATATACAGATTCGTCCACTAATTTTAAAGGTCACTGCGATTATAGCATAGTTTCTATTATACATGTCTACCACATACATTCAATTTGGTATCAAATGTTTGGCAGACTTATTAGAAACGGCTATATTTTCACTGCTTCAAAGTTCGTGTAATTTTGCAGTAACTTGCATAAAGACCTCTTTGCACGATACTGATATTGCGAAATGGGAACATCCTGTATTCACTGGATTATCAAACAAATAGGTCATGACGTCCGTGAGCTTAATGACTAATTTAATTTCGATATCCTTCCAAGAATATCTGTTATGATTTATTCGTCTCTCCAGTTAAATATGTCATACACACGCCTTTATCTAACAGTTTTCTAAAGGTATCCTTTCTCGGAAAATTTTATCAAGAAGATTAATTGAGTACATCCTTTTTGGTGAAGCTCACCAATTGATAGATATGCACATGTAAACATCTTTATGACGCCAATAGGCGAGGAAAGTATCTTAATGGTGAATAACTTTTCAAGTTTAAGATAACGCGTCTTTTACATCATGAAAACCTTGGCCCTTATACTCAGTGACAAAGAAAATAGAACTCCCAGTCAAAATTAATATTTGTATATAGCTGAACATGAGCAAGGAAAGTAATGATCGAATCTTTTATGTGAAAATATTTTCAGTATCGCTAGATTTGCCTGTGACACCTTACGAGATACATTTGTCTAATCGTCGATGACTTGAAAAGGTCATATTTTCCATCTTCTCCTACACATGTGGGTGAAAGATCTTGAGATCTAGGAGAAATGAGGCGTTCTTGAGAGTTATAGAAATTTTAATGGAAGAGGAGATGTATTAGATAATGCAGGTTTATGACATATCTCCCTGTTCATTGAAATTATTGCAACGGTTGCTGAAGCAAAATAGCCAAGCGACAGACTGTTGGAAGTGAATGACATGATGGAAACATCATAAATTATCCGAAAATATTATACTTACCATACTTACAAGTGGCATTAAAAAAATTGATTCGCACACGCTCTTCTTGATAATAGATAATGATTTATGGAGTTATCCTCACGTGAAAATGTATTGTATGCTGGCACGTGGACAACGTATACTAAGTGACATATAAATCCGAACACCCTGTTTAAATGGTTTTATTTTAATAAAAGTTGGTGAATGTATTTATCTTACTGTAAATAACAAGTGACAAAATTTTCAGCCTTATCAGTTGGACATTCCGGTTTTTATACTGCTTTTTTTTAATTCACTAACGCTCTAAAAATGAATATTTCAGCCGCAGTAAAGAATCAACGTTGGCGGATTTTGGTTCTTGACATCCTTTACGATCAGTTACGATGCCTAGAGTACGGAGACCTGTACGATTTCGTCAACTTAGTGAGTTTGATAGGGGCCGTATAGTGGGACTTCGGGAAGCTGGACTTTCTTTTCGGGCAATTGCAGTTAGAGTGCAAAGAAGTGTAGACACTGTGGTTAGGTGTTGTCAGGCATGGCTTCAAGAAGGCCGTACGCAAAGAGCAAGGGGCACTGGACGCCGCCGTAGAACAACAGACCGTGAAGATCGCCGCCTAAGATTATTGGCCTTAAGGGACCGTTTCTCCACTACCAGGTCCATTGCAAATGAATGGTTTGCAGAACACGGAAGACCTATTGGCATGCGAAGTGTTTATCGACGAATGCGAAGTTTTGGCTTGTTTTCATACCGGCCACACTGGTACTTAATAAAGCATAATAAGTAAATGATAAAAATTTCAAAATGATTGCACTGCTTTAAAGCCCTTTGACCTTTAATAATGTGTGGATACACCCTGATGTGCTACGCATTCTCTAACGCGCCTAGGCATGCTTCTGATCAGGTGGTCAATGTCCTCCTGTGGTATCTCATTCCAGGCAACTACCAACTCCTCTCGAAGTGCTTCTAGAGTCTGAGGAGGACGTTGCAAATTGAACAATCTCCTACCCATCATATCCCACACGTGCTCAATTGGGGATAAGTCGGGAGATCTTGGTGGCCATGGTAACAATGTGACATCATTATGTTGAAAGAAGTCTATTGTGACTCTTGGAACATGTGGTCGGGCATTATTTTGTTGGAAAGTTGGATCTGCCAGGGTGTCAAGATAGGGTAAAAGATGGGGTTCTAGAACTTCGTGGATATAACGCTGCGCGTTCATGTTACCTCTGATGAAGATTAAAGGTGAGCTGGAACCATAAGCTATAGTACCCCAAACCATAACTCCAACAGTGTGATGAACATGTCTTTCAACAAAAAACTGTGGATTCCTCTTTTCACCACGTCGCCTTCTAACCCTGGCACGACCATCGTGCATGCCTAAACAAAATCGAGACTCGTCACTAAAGACAATACTGTTCCATTCCTGATCCCAGAGTGACCGTTGTCTGCACCACTCAAGGCGATTACGTCGGTGTTCTCGAGTTAAAGGGAGGACCCAGTGTGGCCGGTATGAAAACAAGCCAAAACTTCGCATTCGTCGATAAACACTTCGCATGCCAATAGGTCTTCCGTGTTCTGCAAACCATTCATTTGCAATGGACCTGGTAGTGGAGAAACGGTCCCTTAAGGCCAATAATCTTAGGCGGCGATCTTCACGGTCTGTTGTTCTACGGCGGCGTCCAGTGCCCCTTGCTCTTTGCGTACGGCCTTCTTGAAGCCATGCCTGACAACACCTAACCACAGTGTCTACACTTCTTTGCACTCTAACTGCAATTGCCCGAAAAGAAAGTCCAGCTTCCCGAAGTACCACTATACGGCCCCTAGCAAACTCACTATAGTCAACGCCAAACAAAGTGGCGTGCACGTCATCAAGGTGGGTGTGTTGAAAAATTTACATTGTTGCCAAACTTTTTGTAAAATAATAAAATTTATTATTTACATATCTAGGTTTATAAGCAATATTAACCTCAAATGAGAACAAAAATAATAGTATAATAAAATTATAGATCTGTACTTGCATAATCATTAAGTATGACAATTATTGATCAGATGACACTATGAAACTACCATATTTAATTGATAGCTTAAAGGTGCTGAATAAAAATCCAAATGGGGTCCTCCAAATTTTATGCATGATATTTATTTTACAGAATTCATACAGAAAATGCATTCTAAAATTAGGTAAGCTACTGGTGTAAGCTTTTTCTGTACAATAAAGTTAGTCGGAGTTTCTTTCTTCAGCGCTGTCTGAATCTGAATCTTCATCACTCTCAAAGTTGATTATTAAAGGTTCGATGTCTGGTCGATCAAAAATTCGTTCTCTTTCATACCATTTAAAAATTTCTTGCTCAGTATGTCGAACACTATTTTTCCACATGTCTGGGGTAACCGTTTGTAGAACCTCGTTCCACATATCCAAACAGTCTTTTTCACTGTTACCATCTCTACCAATATGTCTGTTATAGTAACCTTTTGCTATGCCCCAAATTAACTCAATAGGGTTAAATATACAATGGTAAGGAGGCAGACGAAGAACTTTGTGCCCATGTTGTTCCGCCAATTCATCAATCACGTATATTTTAGGTGGTTTGTTTCTAAAAAAGCAGTTATTTTAAGAATAGGAATAAACAAAAGAAATATAACCTGTCGACCAAAATATATATTATTAAGAAGCATTATGTACCGAGCAACAATTCTCAATAGCTCTGTTTTAAACTTCTCGAATGGCACTTGTATCCAATGTCGCTGTGTTGGTTACACGTTTAATATAACTCCGCTTTTTCTTGGGCGATTCTAAATTTGCATCACTTTTCACACCCTCGGAAATACGACTAACTGTCCTTAAACTAATTTTTAAAGCAGCAGCAACACGCTACAAAAAATGAAATAAAATTTCACTATTATTAATATACATTACATATAATTATTAGTAACCTACCTCTTGAACAGCATTTAAAGGCAACAAAGGCCCGTTGTTGTCCCTTTCTTGCTCAAAGTAGTGCATTAACGAGGCCACGAGTTCCTTACACCGACTATTTAACTGTTTGGGCATCTTTATATACCAAAATTGCCTTTATCTACTCGTAAAATGAATAATTTTGTTTTGAAACAAACAGTTGTTGATTTACAGTATGCGGGGCCAAAGGATTTATAAAGATTTGAAATGCCACAAATTGATTCAGTGTCAAAATTAATACAAATGTCAGTTCCCAGTTTAAATAAGTTTCGAGGTGACAATGTGTCAACGCTGCGAAATCGGTTTAGTGCGTTTACATGTCGATAAGTGATTGGAGCGTTTGCAAAACATTTTATTTCGCATAATGCGTCTAAATTTATCAGAAAGCAACTTATGTGATATTTTAATAACAATGCTTATATGACTGTTAACCATAATAAGAGAGTAATGACCATTTTACAATTTATATATCACATTAATATGAAACTGCAATAGAGCAATTGTTTGTGATAGAAACCTAGGCATTAGGTCGGGGAATTTTTGTCGTGATGACGTGCACGCCACTTTGTTTGGCGTTGACTATAAGTTGACGAAATCGTACAGGTCTCCGTACTCTAGGCATCGTAACCGATCGTAAAGGATGTCAAGAACCAAAATCCGCCAACGTTGATTCTTTACTGCGGCTGAAATATTCATTTTTAGAGCGTTAGTGAATTAAAAAAAAAACAGTATAAAAACCGGAATGTCCAACTGATAAGGCTGAAAATTTTTTCACTTGTTATTTACAGTAAGATAAATACATTCACCAACTTTTATTAAAATAAAACCATTTAAACTGGGAGTATGCCGCGCGACTGTTTTCAAACGAATGCCTAACTTTCGCTTCTTATACTTGAAGAACCAACAAGTTGTCGAAAAAAACGTAACAGACCTTTTTTGTAAAAAAAAAATACCTATTTCCTAGCCTAGTTTTTTCATTTATTGCCATATATTAATGTGTAATGTAAGGAATAATATAATAAAAATCTTTTTGTTTCCAGTGAAAATTTGTTCCGGACAATGGCAGATATCCTAGTTAACGAAGGATATGCCAGAGCGGGATATGAATACATAAACGTAGATGATTGTTGGCTGGAAAAGGAGAGAAGTGTCTACGGAGAACTAGTTCCAGATCGAACACGGTTTCCAAGGGGGATGAAATCATTATCAGATTATGTAAGTCACATTTAATGTGCATTTTCCATACAATATAAATATATAATTAGTATAGTGCCGTTAGACGTAGACTGTATTGTCGGTGGAATGCATTAAAATACTAGATATTGAAAAGTTTGTTGATCAATCTTGTGCATTTTCTAGGTATAGGATTTTTCAGGCCATATAAATCGTATTTCAGGGTTTGATTGATTTCAGAAGAAAAATATGTTTTCGTGCTTGTATACAAGTACTTTTAGAGTTTGTAAGTAGAAAAATTCGCCAAATAATAAAACCCCAGATTTTAACAGAAACCCAGGAAACCCTTGGAAGGCAACAAAACCCGCAGTCTTTGGTTAACGGATATATACTATATAAATACTGGAATATGAGGATCAAAACCTACTAGTGCTATCTGTTTATTCTGATGGATAAAACTGGATGCAGTCTAGGCACATTTTACACCTTCCAGTTCTCTGATATTGCTTATCAACAGGCAAGTGATATTGAACGAAACGTCGAGCTAGCCGGTCGAGCCAACTAGACCTCCTGATAATAAATGTAAATTTTGTGCTAAATTTTGTTCGGCTAGTGAAGTAAAATGTGCTAATGCCTCCTGTGATACAGTTCTTCATGCAAAGTGTTTTGATGCAATTGCTGGAATTGTTGTGTTGAAAACAGAACATTTCCGCTGCAAAAAATGCTTAGAAGCCAACAAAGAGTTTGATAACAAGTTGAATTTGAATATTCATCTTCTGAGGAAGGAAGTTGATTGTCTCTCGAGAAAGAAACAGTTATTAGAAAAATATGTGAACCAGAATTTTCTAATAACTTTTTGAAAACCCATATGCATTCTAATTCTGCTGTGTCGTCCTCTGCTGCCCGTTCTTCGCCGCACTCCTCTTCGACAGTGTCTTACTCTCAAGCAGTAATAAAGAATGTAACGCATCAGCTGTTTTGGTTATTAAATCAACTGACCAAAATAACGCAGAAGTAGAACAAGAGTTGAAATCCAAATTCAGGCCAAGTACTATGAAAGCAAATGTTACTAGTACAAAACTGATCAGGGAAGCGGGAAGCTGGTAATAACTACAGCATCTACGAGCCCAAAAATCTACGCCCTAGGATTATTGTTCATAGTGTGGATAAATCTGTTCCTGAAAATCCTCAGTCTTCCGAGTTCATTATTGAAGACAATGACCTTGATGTTCCTTCAAGTGACGTTTGTGTTATTACAAAACTTGGCTAGAAAAAGAGTATTAATCTGGTTTTGGAGGTTTCTCCTTCTGTGTTCAAAATTGTTATGGCAAAGGGTTTTTTGTACGTTGGATGGAAAAAATGCAGTGTTAAAGAACATTTCAATATTGTTAAGTGTTTTAAATGCTGCAAATTTGGTCACTATAAAAAGGACTGTAAAAGTTCATCTGTCATTCGCTCTAATTGCTGTGGCAACGTACGCAATGTACTAAATGTTTAGTTCAATAAAGACCCTTTATTATTATTATTATTATCAAAAGAGGGACTGCCATTCACCTGATCTTCTCTGCGTTATTTGTAAAGACTCAAATAGCAAGTACAAAATGAATAAGCCGATAGATCATTCTGCTCACAGCTTGGAGTCACTTTTTACCTTACTAAATTAGACCAACTTAAATCTAGAATTCAGTATGAAGAATAAAAACTTAAAGATTGGTCATCTGAACTGCAGATCTCTTTTCATACATTTTGGCGAATTTGCTCAGCTTCTTATGGAAAACAAGTTTGATGTTATGGGTGTCTCAAAAACTTGGCTTAATGGTGATATTCCTAGAGAATTAGTATGTATACCTGGTTTTTCGTTATTAAGACACGATCGTTTAAGTAGAGGTGGAAGTGTTGCAGTTTATTACAGGAATACCATGGTCTATAAGCAGATTCTAGAGCATTTTGATAATACTTGTGGAATTGAGCATATTAGGATATCCTTGAGGGCGGATAAAGAACCAGTAGTAATTGGCGTGGTGTATAGACCTCCATCAAGGAATTGTAATGACTTTTTTAATTTCTTGGACAATGCTCTCTCCTATATTACACCTCAATTAGAGCACATTGTTGTTGGTGATTTCAATGTTGACCACACCTATGATAATGAAGTCAGTCCCTGCTTCATTTCATATGATTTTCAATAACTTATCACTGAGCCCACTAGAATAACTCCATTGTCACAAACCATCATTGACTTCATTTTTACCAATTTTCGAAATAGCATTATTTCGTCTGGCGTTATTGACAGTTTTCATATTTCTGATCACAAAGCAATTTGCTGTGTTTCTGTATTCTACTCCTCGCCCTGGGCCATTTTTTCTTGAAATATAGTGATTTTAAGTTTTTCGTGTATGTTGATTTTTATGCTGAATTGTTAAATGTTCCTTGGGATAATATCTTGTATACAAATGATATTGATGATAAGGTATCACTTTTAAACAGCTACACTAAACCTTTTGCTCCATGGATAACTCCAAACATTAAGTTGATGATGAAAAAGAGAGATGATACTTTACGTAAGTATAAAGAGTCTAGAAACACGTAGGATTTTGCTTTCTATAAAGAACTACGTAACACTACATGTTCAGCAATCAAAAATGAAAAAGCAGCTTTTTTAGCATCAAAATTAAATTCTAATAACCGCGATCTGTGGCAGGAAATCAACCGGGTCAACATTAAAAAGAAAAATGATACTGCTATACCACCTCATCGTAAGAACCCCTTCGACAATAACAGTCACTTTCTTTCAGTCTTCAGTCCGTTAAACAACTGTCCAGAAGCAACATCTTATGTAGGTTCTAATTTTTGTACTTTTACGATAAAGCTAGCAAAAGAAAGTTCTAAATTATATGTATAGCAAACATCATAAATTGTTGTATAGAAGTTGGTTATTTCCCATCCTTATGGAAGCATGGTCTGATTAAGCCTTTGCCCAAAAAAAGTTCACCTCTTGTCTTTAATCATCTGATACCCATAAGTATTCTTCCTGCGTTTTCGAAAATTTTTGAAAAACACATTTATGACCAATTATATGAGTATGTTATCGCCAACCGAATCATTTCTGAATCTCAGTCTGGTTCAGGAAGGGTTTCAGTACGACATCATTGCTTCTAAACGTTTCTGATCACATTATTAGGTCTCTTGATTCTGGACTTACAACTACTCTTGTACTACTTGACTTTTCGAAAGCTTTCGATACTATTGATCATTCTCTTCTACTTGCAAAGTTGCGATATTATGGCATAGATGATATGGGGCTTAAACTTTTTGATTCTTATGTACATCATAGGTGTGTTGTGGTGGATAACACCTCTTATTCTGATTTTCAACTTGTGACATCTGGAGTTTCACAAGGTTCCATTCTCGCACCATTACTTTTCATTATATATACTTCAGATATATTCAAAGTTGTCAATAGTTGTAATATTCAAGGGTACGCTGATGACACTCAATTATTTTTATCTTTTGATCCAATGTTTGCTGATATAGCATCTGCTTACATTAACCAGGACTTACAAGAAATACTCTTTGAGGTACAATTTAAAACTAAATTCCGATAAATGTCAAGTCATTGCATTTTCTCCACCTAATCAGGAAATTTTTACGCAATCAATGTTACTGAAAATTGACGGAAGGAGTATTGCTCTCTCCAAAAGTGTAAAGATCTTAGGTATAATTTTTGACTGTAAGCTCAGGTTTGATGAGTATGTTTCACTTTTAGTCAAAAAGACGTATCTTGTACTTAGGCTCCTCTATCGAAATGGAGGAATATTAAATTTTAGATTGCGAAACATGCTTTGTGAGTACTTGGTATTTACTATTCTGAATCATGATGTCACGCTTTATTACCCATTTCTTACGCAAGTTTTAAAGTAGAGGTTGCAAAATATTCAGAATTGTTGTTTAAGATTTGTTTTTAAGCTCAGGAAATATGATCGAGTTTCAAGCAAAATTAATGAATTGAGTTGGTTGAAAATAGAAAATATCTATAGATACTATACATCTGTCTTAGTTCACCTGGTATTACTATCCTCATTTCCTCCTTATTTAAGAAGAAAATTAGTTTCTTGGCGTGATTTGCATGATTTGAATATCAGATATATTAATCTCTTCCGAAATTTCGCTTAACAAAATTTATGAAGTCTTTTACATACAATGCGGTCACTATTTATAATGATATTGATGATGCTTTCAAAACATATTTAGTTCAGAAGTTTAAAGTTTGCGTCAAATTCTTACTTTTAAATTCTCAAACGGCTAGTTCGTATTAGATATAGTCATGTACTGATTTTGAATTGTTTGTTTTATAATTATTAATTATAAAGTTGGTAGTGTTTCTGCCAATCATCTATTCTTAATAATACTTTACTTTTATGTTACATCCATATTGTTCTATTTGCATATTTATGTTCCTCATATTATTTGTTGTCTTAAGTAGAGTAGCTGTCGCTAGATTTCGCCCTATGTTCAACTGTTTATGTATTGTATATGACAATACTTTAATAAAGGCATAATTATAATAATAATAATAATAATAATTCCAAATACCCGGTTAAAATAGCATCGACCCTGGGGTAATTCAGATATAGTTAGTACACATTAAATCTCTTAATGTCCACCGTCGATTCACAGAATTTCATCTAAATCACTCAAGTAATTTGAGAGAAATAAGAAATATCAATATTAGATGAAATTAAGTCGAACACCCTGCAAGGAAGCTGTAAAATACGAGTACATAATTTGACATTGACTTTTTGTGGGATTTAATGAATTCTATAATTTCAAATAACCGCATACATAATTCTGAAAAAATACAAACCAGGTAGATACACTTTCTTATATACAGTACGTTGAACGTATTTCACTAAAAATCTCATAAATCCATAGAGTGGGCGGGGGTTGCGTGGTTTAAGTCTAAGAGCATTCCACTACAAAAAGATTATCCTGAAAGGTTGGGAAACCGCGTGGGCTACTCAGGATGCAGATGTAGCCTTAAA